AAAAAATTTTGTATGCCCTTTTGATTTTGTCACGTGTCATCTAAGTGCTTCTTTCCTGTCTTCATATCCTCTGCACAATAGTATTACTCTCTTTGTTCTGTTTTTATTTGCAAGGTTCAATTTCCTCATTTCCAAGTTGATTGTAGTAGAAATCCATTTTTGTTGTGTTCTAGTCTTCTACATACGATCGCTGAGCCCAAACTATAATATGTCAAAACAAACTAATTATTTTAGTATTTAATATGTTTTTTATATGCTTAATTTTTAGCTAGTAGACTAACTTTTTAATTAACTCTAAGAAAAACTTTAAAAAGTGACATCATCATTACATAAGTCATGAACATTTTTCTCCATTTTTAAGGCAAAATATATTTTACGCCTTCTGTTTTATTTCATGTTTGTAAAGTAAATTACACTTGCCTCTCACGTAATTTAAAGAAAATTACAGTTAATCTAATTACATTGACCTTTCATAAAAGTTTTAATTCACATAACACTTAAGTCATTTTTCATCAATATAAATGAAAAAAATAATGTTATAATCTCTTTCATACTAAAATGTTTACTTACCATTATTTATTTAAGTATCCAACTATCATTGGTATTAATTTTGATAGTTTTAACCATACTAAAAGATAAATTAATAAAATTATGTCAAAAATATAAGAAAAAGAGAAAACCCCAAAAGAGATGAGTGTGCATCAACAATTAAGAGTTCATTGTTTGGCTTTTGATACTCTCCTATTCGATTTTGTTGTTGTCTTCCTGAAAAGCTTTACTCTTCACTGCCGGCGAATGTTGCTTACAAGAAAATAAAAAAGAAAAAAACTCTGTATTCCTTTTTGATTTTAGAGAGCTTTGTTATCTCCTCTACTACAACTCTATTAGAACTCTGGTTGAACAATTATCAGAATAATATTCTGTTGTGTGTTCTGTTTTCATTTTACAAAGCTCCATTTCTTGCTCTCTATTTCTGTTATAGTACAAAAGCTCCCCTTCATAGTCCCATTTTTATATTACAATATAATTCTCTATATATTCAACTCTGCTTGTCAAAAAAAAAAAAATTTTTGCTCCCTTTTGATTTTGTTGTCATCTAAGTGTTTCTTTTCTGTCTTCATATCCTCTGCAAAATAGTATTACTCTCTTTGTTCTATTTTAATTTGCAAAGCTTTGTTTCCTCATTTCCATTTTGATTGTAGTAGAAATCCCTTTTTGTTGTGTTCTAGTCTTTTACATTTCAAGTTTCACTATCCACAGAAGAAAAACGCGAGAGAAATGGTCGTGAACTTTGTTCTTCCTGTAGTAATGAAGATTGGAGAATATCTGGTTGCTCCAGTTGGTCGCCAGTTTGGTTATTTGATTTTCTATGACAGAAACATTAAGAATCTGGAGAAGCAGGTCCAAAAGCTGGAAGATAAAAGATTTGGAGTACAAAAATCAGTTGAAGAAGCAGAGGCAAAGAGAGAAATTATTGCACCAGGTGTCGAGCGGTGGTTGAAAACAGTGAACGACCTCAACGAAGAGGCTAAGAAATTCCTCGAGGTTGAAGTGAAAGCAAACAAAGGGTGTTTGAATGGGTGGTGTCCAAATTTGAAGTCACGTTATTCCTTGAGCAGAAAAGCTACAAAGAAAACTCAAAGTGTGGAAGAGCTACGTGGAGAAGGAGTTTTCTCTACAGTGTCCTATCCTACAGTTGCACCTTCTGTGGGGACAACATTTGCATTCACTGGAGGTTTTAAGGGGTTTGAATCTAGAAGATCGATTATGAATGGAGTTATGGAGGCACTGACAGATGATAGTATCTATGTGATTGGGATATGTGGGATGGGAGGGGTTGGTAAGACAACTATGGTGAAAGAAGTTGCGAAGAAAGCGGAAGAAGAGAAAATGTTCGATATTACTGTGATGGTAGTAGTGTCCCAAAACCAAAACTTGATTACTATTCAAGACCAGATAGCCAAAATATTGGATTTACAAAATTTTGGGGGAACCAATTTACCTACTGGAGCAGGGCAGATACGATCAAAAATATTGAGCTTTGGAAGAGTCCTTGTAATATTAGATGATGTTTGGAAGATACTCGAATTGAATGACATAGGTATTCCAATTGGAGATAATCACAAGGGTTGCAAAATTGTGATGACTTCAAGAAGTGAAGATGTATGCAACAACATGGACACACAGAAGAATTTTGAAGTTGGTGTCTTACATGAAGAAGAAGCATGGAATCTCTTCAAGGAGATGGCTGGAATTTCTGACGAAGGTACAAGTCAACCAACTAATACACAGTTGACGCAGATGGCAGTTGCGAAGGAATGTGGAGGCTTGCCGATTGCTATTGTTACAGTCGGGAGGGCACTTAGATGCAAAAGCAAGTATGCATGGGATTCTGCTCTTGAACAATTGCGAAAGTCTATGGTCAAAAACATCAGTGGAGTGAATGAAAATGTGTTTAAATCTCTAGAGTTGAGTTATGACAACCTTGAAAGTGATGAAACCAAGAAATGCTTTCTGCTCTGTTCTTTATATTCGGAAGATTTTGATATTCCAATTGAAGATCTCGTTGGATATGCGATTGGGATAGAGTTGTTTAAGCGCTTTGATAGTGTGCACCAAGCAAGAAACAGAGTACATTCTGTAGTTGATGACTTAAAAAAATGCTATCTATTGATGGAAACTAAAAATGAAGAGTGTATCAAAATGCATGATGTCGTACGTGACGTGGCTATATCAATTGCATCTAGGGAGGAGCATTCGTTTTTGGTGAGATGTGATGAAGTATTGACAGAATGGCCCCAGAAAAACCGACTCCAAAACAACACTGTAATTTCATTAAAAGTTAATAGTGTGCATTGCCTTCCTGGTGATTTAGAATTTCCAAATCTCCAGCTTCTACAGCTGGATTGCAATGCCGGATCACCACCAACCTCATCACATGGTCTTAACAAAGGGATGGAGAAGGTCAAAGTACAAGAGACCCCAGATAGTTTCTACCAAGGAATGAAAGAACTTAAAGTGCTAGGTTTATCCAATATGAACAGCTCATTGCCGACATCATTTCGATGCTTGACCAACCTCCGAACCTTGTCACTTTTTCGTTGCCGACTTATTGATGATGGTATCTCCGTTATCGGAGCGTTAGAGAAACTGGAAATTTTGAGGTTTGGCGGCTCTTATATCAAGGAATTGCCAAAAGAAATAATAGGTCACCTCGCTCACTTAAAGGTACTTGATTTGTTCGGATGTACAGTGGAAAGGATTTACCCAGGGATTTTGTCAAGCTTATCAAAGCTAGAAGAGTTGTATGTTGGGTCTAGTTTTGATAGTTTGTGTAAACAAAGCAAAGAAGGTGCTAAAGCAATTATCGATGAGCTGGCGTCCTTGTCCAATTTGGTGGCTTTGCATATTAATCTAATAGACATTTCCTTCTGGCCGAGAGGTTTGGTCGTTGAAAAGTTCGACATAACTGTTTGCACTTCGTCATCACATCACCTTTGCTATCGGTTATCAAATCAGTTGAATGTCCAACGTACAATTGTGAATGATTACATTATTGAATCGAGGCTATATTTGCTGTTGAAGAGAGCTGAAATTCTGAATTTATTCGGATGTCTAATAATAGGTTTTGAAAGTCTCTGTGATTTGGTCGACGGAGATGGTTTTGAATGCTTAACGAAGTTGAGACTAGATGACTTGTCTGATTTGGAATACCTCATCAATACAGCAGATGGGGTTCCACAGAGTGCTTTCCCTGTGTTAGAGTTTCTGCATCTTTGTTGTCTACCTAATTTCAAAGGGATTACTAGTCATGAATGCCGACTACCGAACAAGGCTTTCAGTGCATTGAAAGTGTTGACACTATATTGGCTGTCTGAACTGACAAATTTGTGGAAGGGTCCCACCCAACTTGTATGGCTCGGCAACCTGACGACTGTAGATGTGATATCTTGTGATAAATTGGAAAGTATGTTCTCACTTTCCATAGCTAGAGGTCTAGTGCAACTGCAGGACCTTCTGATACGTACTTGTCATGTGATGGAAGAAATTGTTTCGAGTGAAGGAGGAGAGCATGAAATAGAAGCAATAGCAACAGATAAAATCGAGTTTCCTAAACTAAAGAAATTGTGTCTTGGAACCCTGCCAAATTTTACTGCTATCTGCAAAGCTATGAATGCAATTGAGCTGCCACAACTGAGTTCTTTGACACTGTCGAATGTGCCAAAGCTGAAGCGTCTCTGGGCTGCTTCAGATTTAGGGAGTAATTGTGATCCCATCATTCAACCCCTCTTCAACGACAAGGTATGCTTCTCTTATTTAAGAGCTTAATTAATTGCTAATTTGTGAACCACTTTTCATTTTTTTACTATTATATCTCCATTTCTGGTTTAATTTTTTTTCATAATTGCATAATGAGATCGTGTGGGTTACTTTTACGCCATGTTCAATATAAATTGTGTGTTTACATACATATTTGTGTTTATATATCTTTATTCATACCAAATAAAAATAAAGAAAATTTACTAACAGAATTTTTATACATAAAATTCATACAAAATAATGTGATAATTGCATTTTTACAATCTTGACCCACAATTATGGGCGTTTTGCATTGAAGTGAGAGAACCATATAATGCCACATTATTTTGTATGAAAAATTCGATTTTAAAAAATAAAAAATTAGCTAAATTATCAATTATTCTATCAACGTGTCACGTGTGTGGAAGCCTACTCACATGTGAGTAATTAGTAAAATAGTTGGTAGTTTAGTTTATAACTGTAACAAAATTCTTTTATAACTGTGACAAAATTCTTCTGAAGGATTAAAAAAAAAGTAATGTTAAGAGCATAATAATAGGGAATGGATCTCTCTAGCAGTTCGGCCCATTGTGAACCACCTGGGTCCATTTTGACAATTCAAATAATTCATCTTGTTAGATTTATTGAGCACATTATTCATCACAAAAAAATAGATTAATGGGACACTAAAAGCCATTTCATTGGATCACATTTGTATGAAAAATAATGGGTTAATTTTATTTTTCACGCCAGTAGTTTGACCCAAAGTTTACTTTAGTCTATATAGTTTCAATTTGAATACACTTTTAAGTCTAGTTTTATTTTGGTTCTTCCGTCTAAATTTTTGTTAATTTTGTCTACATGTACACCTTAGTAAATTGACAAGTATTTCAAATTTTTTAATTTTAACATTCAATTTAAACAAAAGAATGAAATTGAAACCTTATTAAATTGACCACCAAAATTATTAATTTTAACCTCCAATTTAGATGAAAGGACCAAATTGTTTGAATTGAAGCTAGAAAATTAAAGTGAAATTTGAGTCCAACTATTAGAGTGAAAATTGTAATTAACCAAAAATAATTAACAACAATATAACTTTCAAAGTAGTCAATCAAATTCTTTTGGACAAATGAGATCCGATTAACTTGATTTTTGTCATAAGAAGGGTTATATAAAATGAATAGTTCAGATCACTATAACAAATGAACGGTTCGGCTTGCTACAACAAATTTTAGAGACACAAATTTAAGAACAAAATATCTTAGTTGCCGAAAAATTCATTGTTGTATTTTTAACGATGAAACTAGACATTTAATAATAATTACTATCCTTTTAGAACAAAATATTCATTTCAAAGAGTAAACTGTTTTGGCATTAAATTATTTTGTTTCTAAAATATATTTATTAGCTACATTTTTAAATTATCACTAACAACCATTTTTTTACTTTTTCAAATTACTTTTTCATGACGGTTGAAATTTGTATCCTAATATTTTTTGCAATAATATTTTCACTTTTAAGAACGAAAATGTTTTCCCTAAAACTGTTAGGGCCATTGAAAAGACTTATTTACCTATAGGGAGAGGTTTCTCTCCAGTCCACTATGTAGACTGAAACGTACTGTTGGGCCCGTGGAGCCTATCACGGATCCATTGAGATGATCTAAACTGTTGAATATGTAGAGCTCATCGATAACTTCATGCCTTCAAAAAATCACGTTGATCAGATATCAATAACTCTTTGATCGGAACACATTTTTGTCAATGGTAAATATGATTTTAAAAATAAATTATTAACACAAATGTATTCCGATCAAGGATCTATATATATCTAATCAACGTAATTTTTTACAAACATGAAGTACTCGACGAGGTCTACATATTGAACGGTTTGGATCATCAAAATGGGATACATAGTGAGCCCTACGAGTCCAACAACACACTCTAATCCACAAAGTGAACTGGAGAGAAGCCTCTCCCTTACCTATAAGTTCAGCTCATTTTTTCGCCTATCAATATCCCTAAAATACCCTTACTTCACCATCTTCATACCTATTATTTACACTATTATGATTCTCTCCTACTTCACCAGCAATCACCTTCGGCGTCGGTGATCACCATCGGCGATAGTTTTCAACAACACTTTCTTGATTTTTTTCAACAAAATAAACATCTATCACCGCATCATTACTCTCATCATTCAATCACTCATTCATATTTACATGCACTTTCACTTACATAAATACAAGGATAAATTACAAATACACCTCTTGATATTTGATTGAAATACGAATCGCCCCTGTGGTTTTGGAAATTACATTCCACTCCCTGAAGTTTCTAATTTCATAATAAATCGTCCATTTTATTAATAAATCATCAAGTCAATTAATTGTAACGCTCCGAAATAATACAACATGAACTATCCACAAATAATCAACATTTAGCCAACGGTAACAATAATCTGCTCATCTTTACATAAATACTAATGAGCCTTTACAAAGGTTTTACATGCGGGTATATATTCATTAATACAAATATATGAATCTATAGCATGTAAATCATCTATTCTCAAAACAATACAATGCCCTTAAGGGCTTACATCTTCCAAGGCATAAACCTAGTTACACAAAAAGGTTTCTGCAACCCAACACATTAGCCCTTGGCTCAAAAGAATTACTCAAAATAAGAGTTATGTACTCTTCTCAAAAACATCCACGCCCTCAATTCGGCGGGATCACCACATCTTTATCTGCACCAAATCCCATAGGGGTGAGCACAAGGCCAAGTAGAGAATTCTTACAAAATATATACAGTTATGCATACTCTTTAAAATAATACAATTGTTAATGCCATGCCATGCATCCTTATAAGAAAGTCCATTTCATGCACATTTAAAAGTTTCCATCTTTCCAACAATTATTTACAATCTCAACATTTTTATCAAAATTTCCAATCATTAATCAATATGGGCAGTAAATACGACACTGGTAATCCCTTAGGCTAGTGTCTGCAAGTAGACTCTACGAGTACTACCAAACTGTCATTTTTACCGGTATTAACCGGAAGGCTCGACACCTATCCGCGCGGCTTTCGGGTCTTTCACCCTAGACACTCATGCCAACTTATCAAATTCATCTACACCTTCTATCTGGACTTACCAACGTATTTACCCCTTAGACATTTTCATAGTTCTCAACACAATAACTATTTCCTTTCCTTATGATGGAAATCTCAATGATTTAGATTCACAATGCACTATAATAAATGAAATAACATGCAATGCAAATGATCCTTTCCACATCTTAAGACATTTCTCCCCTTTTGAGTATCTCTGCTACAATGTCAACATTCACATTCTCATCTTCTCTTTTCAATGTTCATCCACATGATTAATATATTTCATCAACACGTAGTCACAATTTTCATATCACAAGACATAACAAATTATTTTGCCACAACCTTGCTCATTTATGTATTGTCAATAATTTAACATTTACACCTCATTTTCATATAACAAAAAATTTTCCAATTTGCCAAACATTGATGCAACTCACTCTCTTCATCCTTTTAAAACAAGACAATAAGAAATTTCAAAGACATTTGTCATATTACCAAAATCCCCAATTTCTAGGGTTTTTCTCAAAACAATCACTTCCCATTTCATGGTGAGAACTCTCATCCAAAACATTTCTTTTCTTAGGTCAACAAGATGAATCCTCAAGGATTGACCAAAAATTTAGAGTTAAAAGAGAAACCCTCTTTTGAGGAAAACCTTTACATTTTGAAATCACAAGGTTAATATCATCACAAACTAAAAAGAACTCTTAAATCATCATAAGAAAGGCAAAACTAGTATATATAACTCAAGAATATCCCTACCTCAAAGTAGAAGCCCAAGGAGAAGAGTTAGACAAAGGTGAAGCTTCAAAAAATGGCAAGTCCAACTTCTTCTTGGATGGAAATGAAGATCTTGAAGAGCCCAATCTTTTTGTCTAAGGAATGAGGATGAGAAGATCACTAGATCTAGGTCAAATATAGAGAGAGGGGGTATTTCTAGAGAGAGAAGCTCTCAACTTCGGGTTTGGATGAAAAAGAGATGAAAATGTTATGTAAAAAGTCGCTCAAGCGTCAGACACAGCAACAACAGCCTGCTCGAGCGTAGATTTCACCTGCTCAGTATTTCACAGATTGCAGACAGTCGCTCGAGCGCCAGAAGGGCCGCTCGAGCTCAGACACGCTCGAGCTTAAGAAACGCCACTCGAGCATGAAAAACACTCTTGAAACACTTTTGCAGAGGCACTCAATGCTAAAAGGTTGCAAACTCCGCTCGAGCGCAAGAAGTCCTGCTTGAGCAGAAGATTGAAAATTTGGACAACAAGATTCTAGACCGAAAGGCAACCAACCTGTTCTAAACACGCTCAAGTCATTCCACAACTCAAACTCAACAGGTATAAGGAAGAAAAACATAACCAGCAGTATCAAACAACAAGATTTGGATCCCCAATACCATGACAGTCGGGTAGAGACCCGGGGTCGCTATAAATTTATAGTTTTTAATGATGTTAGAAATATGTTTCAATTAATAATTTATGTAATTTTATTATTGTGTAGGAGAACAATTATGAATTTCACTTTTTTAGTTAATTATGTTAAATAAAAAATTCTAAGAAGAGGGTATTTGTAATTTTTTATATTACAAGAGATCATCTGTACTTTAAACAAACCTCAGGGGTTATATTTGTAATTTATCCTAAATACAGCCAAATAGACATATATAACCCAAATTAATCTAATAAATTTATTAGAAACACGATCACTGATAAATTTACCACTAATCGATTTTTAAAAAAATTACAAATAAATTCGATTTACTCACTCTTGCTTATGTTCACTGAGGAGTTTATCACTTATAAAAAAATTTGATAAATACAAAATCCACCCTCGTCACAAACATACATAGGGAAGAATAGAGACTAATAAATTTATGATTGAGAAAAAAAA